TAAATAAATAAATAAATAAATAAAATTGTCCTGATGCATCTCAATAATCCAGGTCCTCTGGACGAGTTCTTTGTTGAAAAAAACATTCTGTCTCTCGAGTTTCAGGTAAACTCAACCTTATAAGCACTGCCTCCACATGGTGGACAAACAGGCTTAACAATGACAACCAACACTGTTCACATGCAGATGAGGACCATCAGCCTTACAAYCGTTAGGGTCCTGATTRTCTCTGTTTTCACAGAGGACCATCAGCCTAATGACTGATCTGTGGTGCTCTGATAATCAAGGCCCTAACCACCTTTAGGCTGATGGTGTGAGWACTACAGATTACACACGGTGAGGATGGACCGTCAGCGTATCCCTAACCTAGCACTGTGATGAACATCACCTAGTCAGAGGAAACAGGAAAGGCCCAGAACAACACGGTGATGGGCGGTGACATCAGAGYTGCAGGGCATGAATCTTACCTTGGGTGAAGGACAACATGTGACCCGTTACAGAAACRAATGGAGGCAGCTGGTAGCGGTCCTAAACAGGACAAAGAGGAGTAAGAGGAGGCTGAACCCTGGGGAAGATTTTGGAAAGTTTGAATTTTTCTTACACACCATCTATCACAACTTATAGGGGGCTAAAATTCAAAACTTGGTCCAAGCCAAGAGCCAATTTCTGTCAATAATTGTAAAATAATTGTTACATAACAAATTATTCATATAGAAATACAAATTACTTTTTCCTATTTTATGTAGCATTTAGACCATAACCTAACTAGAATGTGAGTGTGACTGGGTGAACRTCTTAAGTGTAAAAGCGCTTTGGGGTCTAAAGGGACTTGATAAAGCACTCTATAAGTTCAGTCCATTTACCATTTAAACAAAACAAAAATAATTAAAATTGATTCTCTGTTGCTCTTTCCACATCTAAATCAAAGATTACTGAAAAATTCTAACTTCATTTTTTTGGTTTGAAAGTTGGCACTAAATACAGACACAAAAAGGGCTGCTTCCTTATCGTGGTGGAGGGGTTTGAGTGTCCCAATGATCCTAGGAGCTATGCTGTCTGGGGCTTTATGCCCCTGGTAGGGTCACCCAAGGCAGACAGGTCCTAGGTGAGGAACCAGACAAAGCGCAGCCCGAAGACCACTTATGATGTCAAAAAACATTGGATCTGGTGTTCCCTCGCCCGGACGCGGGTCACCAGGGCCCCCCTCTGGAGCCAGGCCTGGAGGTGGGGCACGAAGGCGAGCGCCTGGTGGCCGGGCTTTTACCCACGGAGCCCGGCCGGGCTCAGCCCGAAGAGGAGA